GGCGGGGTGAGAGTCTGCAGCTGGAGAAAACTAGCAAATGTACATGGGGCAGAGTGATGGTGGAGAAGGTTCATAGGAAGCCTTCCACACCGCGCTCTGTCTGGTGTAATGACAGTGTTTACAGTGTCAGCACCAGATGGACCCAAGTTGGGAAAAGTGAAGCCTTTATATTAGCTCAAGGCCCAGTCACCTTGCACATCTCCTGTCTGCTGGGCATGTTTGCGCTTTTTTTAAAAATATATCTTATTGATTTTATTTTATTTTTTAAATACACGACAGCAGTGAAATGCATTACATTTCTTACTACACATATAGCACAGTTTTTTGTATCTTGGTATATAAAATATGTTCATGCTAATTTATGCCTTTTCACATGTGCTTTGTGTTTTTTTTGCATTGTAATTTTAATACACATATATACCACAATTTTTCATATCTTTGTATATAAAGTATATTGACATCCAATTTAAGTCTTTATACATGTACTTTGGATAATGATGTCCATCACATTCCACCATCCTTGCTAATCTCCTGCCCCCCCTTCCCTCCCACCCCTCTGCCCTATCTAGAATTCATCTAATCCTCCCATGCTCTCCCTCCCAACCCACTATGAGTCAACCTCCTTGTATCAGAGAAAACATTTGGCATTTGTTTTTTAGAGATTGGCTGAATTCACTTAGCATTATCTTCTCCAACGCCATCCATTTATGTTTGCACTTTAAATGGAAGCATAAAATTGGTTTTTAAAGTCTGGGTGCAGTCTTCTTAGTCCAACTATTAAGAGAGATTTTTCTTCTTGTCTTTGAATGAAATTCAACTCCGGTTTTCCAGCAGTCCCTCCACTTTGGAGTGAGCAGTGATTTGTACGGCGACAGAGTTGTGGTTTGTTTTAGGATTCAAGGGGCCAGGGCAGGTAAGTGTTTGATACAGGAACACACCAGTCAGTTGTCAGGCTCTCAATGTGTATTGGTGTGCTTTGTTCTTTGGCTGTTAAATAGCGTGAGAAGCACGCTCACCTGTCCAAGAGTCACAGGAACAGCAAAGAGCAAAGCTTTACTTTAATGATGGTGTTGCAAGAGCCAGTGCCTGGTGCTCAGGGACCCCCAGGTTGAGTACAACCGGTGTTTTATCCCCTCTCCCAGCTCCTCATTGGCGAGTACTCTGGGGTGCACAATCTTTCCCAAGTCACCTAGGTTTTTCCCGCTCCTATTGGGTTATTTAAAGGATTGTGTCTGTTAGTTGTCCCACCTCTCTGTTCTCTTGTAGTGGGACATTCCCCTTGGCTGAGTGCCTTTTGGCAATTTCACAGTTTATCTCTGTTGGTCAGGGCCAGGTGGGCCCCTTCCTTCTCACCTCCTGTTTGTCAGGGGCTGTGAGTTTTGACACTTTGGTGTTAACTGCTTGTAACTTTCCATCCTGCTCCCCTGGCCAGCTTGCCTTTCCTGCATCCCAAGTCACTTTACATTTGAAGCTGAACATGTTCTGAAAATGGACAGCCAGACTTTCTGTTTCTCACCAATCCCCCCTTTTTCTTTTTCCGTCTTTTGGTCTCGTTTTCATTTTTGTTCCTGTACCCTTTGGTATTGTCACCTATCTTAGTCATATTTACTTTTTGAGGTGGAAACCACCATGGAAATAGGTTCACCCCTTTTAGTAGTTCAGACAGCTGTCCCAGGCATCAGGAGCATTGGTAAATTCCTTTACAGATGGGTGGAAGCTTGTCTTCTTTCTTGGTCGTGGCTAAAACCAAGTCATAAGGCTGGAAGTGGAAGTGACAACTTTTGAATCCTGGAGGAGGAGTCTGAGCAAGGAGTCCCTTTAACTTGAGTGATGATTAAGTATATTAATTAATTAATTAATGCCAGCATATATTTTCTTAGAAATTGGCCTTTAGTTTCCATGGTAGAGAATTCTGTAGCTTTTTCCCAAGTAGGGGAGCTCATTAAGCAGCTCATAATAAATATTAGGGCTAGATAATCATACTACTACCACCAACAAACACAGAGTAAGTCACCTGTGTAGGAGGTTATAAAGACTTGTCCGTCTTAAATTGACTCAGAACAGACTTATGACTCAGGTAGAGCTGTGATATTCATCAAGCACTCTTGTGTAAAAACTCTTCCTTTATAACCTCTCAGTTTTACTTAATTTTGCAAGGACTGACACAAGTGTACATCTCTAGTTAACCATTGTCTTTTCTTAAAAATGTCCAAGCATGGTTGTGCTGGCAGGTATTTAAGACCAGTTGGTCAAAATTGACCTTGTTCTTATCTACTTTTAGAATCAGTTGAAATTCCAGAGACCATTCTTGGGAACATGAAAAACCTCTTGGCTTCTTTGGTTTTCCTCTCCCAGTTGTACTATCTCCCAGGATGGCTCAGGATCTTGCTGACCACAGTTGGCTTCCCTTGGTAACATCAGGGGATTTCCCTTTCGAATGACCTTCCTCTTGGCAGAGTGTGCACTAAACGGCTTCCTGTTCTCCAGGGTCCTCTTGATCCCTCTGATCGGGAGAGCAGGTGATCTTAGAGGGTTCTCATCATTCCTGGGTCTTGCTCATCTTAGACAGCAAGGGCCACAATTTTTATTGATTGCCTTTTCCTGGGTCCTTTTACTTTCTTGACTTTGGTATCCATATTTTTGGTTTTAAAAATTCATCAGGCCAGTTTCACCAGTCTTCAAGTGGGAGTGGTGGGTTTTAACTTACATGTCTATAATTTTAATTGGGGTCAGTATTAATACTGGAAGTTAGCCTTATAGCCTGTCTGTCCTGTAGGTAATGGTTTATTGTTTCAGATTAACTCCAGCTGTTCTAATAGAAGAAGTAGCTCTGCAAATACCAACAGGCAACAAGCACAAAAGGAAAATTAAAAAAAATTTTTTTAAAAAGAACAAAAACATTCAGTAAGCATAATAGCTTTGTACCAATAAATATCATTTCTATAATAACACTAATATCTTTTGTATCTCTTTGCCTCCAGAAAGATCCATAAATTTATCAAAATCAATCATATATGAGATCCTTTACAATTTTACTTTAAAATTTTTAAGACATTGTATATCTTTTATAATTCACCCAAACCTTTACTTAGTTTTGTATTATGTCTCTTGTTTATTTTGAGATTATGGTAATCTTTACAACAAAAATATGTTTTTTGATCTCAACTATTTTTTAATTATTGATTCTTTTTAGTTATATATGACAGAATCCATTTTGATGTAATTATACAAGCATGGAGCATATCTTGTTCTAATTCAGATCCCAGTACCTCTCCTTTCCCTTCCCTCTCCCCACCCCTGCTACCTTTCCTCTTATTGATTTCTGTCATTTACCCACATTTATTTTTAATTATTATTATTATTTTTTTGTGTGGTGCTGGGGATTGAACCCAAGGTCTTGTGCATGTGAGGAAAGCACTCTGACAACTAAGCTATGTCCCCATCCCATGGTTATGTTTTTTTAAATGAGTTTTTAAAGCTAGCCTTCTTGGAGTAATCCTAACATGAAGTAAGGTGAGAGGCAGAGCCTTCTCTCAGGTGAGGCAGGGTTCTTGACTGATCTTAGGTAAAGTGTCTTATTTCTGAAATTGATCTTGCCTCTTCCTTGAATATAATTTTACAGAGTTCTCATATGTTGTTTCCTGAGTCTATATGAGCATCAGTCAATGCACTATAATGTGACATCTAAAATATGGATCAAAGCAGAAGCTAAGAGAGCTTTTCCCTTTCTTTTTGAGGGAAAAGTGGTAAACTGCGTCTGTGTTCCACATTGTCAGCCTTTAAACAAGTTTAGACTCTCCTGATTATCTTCCAAAAGTACATTTAAATTTCTATCTTATTCTAAAAGGTAACAGAAAATTCTGTGTATAACTTATTGATAATGGGTTACCCATATCCAGTTCCAGAATACTAAATGACATAAATCTGAAGGAGACTATTGCTACAGACAATTTTAGTTTGGAGGACATAAGCTTGGTAAAGTGCTTTTCTAAGCTAGACTTAAATCTCTTTTACATTTAGAAAACACTGTTAATGATTAGAAATAGACTTCACCAAAGCAAACAGATATAAGTCAGGTTTTTAAATGGGAGCGTGACCCTTTTATATCAAATATAGTGTATAAAAGAGAACAGTTGTTTATTTAACCAGTTACAAAGTAATCATTTAAAAGACTTTAAAACTGGAACAAATTCTAATTCCTTTCAGACTTGCTTTCCTTTAGTAATAAAACCTAACAGACACAAATTCTCTTGATGGATAAGAACAACTCAATGTTTTAAACTTTGTTTCATATCTGTGCCTTTAAATTGACCTTAGAAAAGCCTTTAAATAATTTTTTCTGACTGGACTACTCATAGTCAACTTAATCACGTGCATAAACTTTTAGAGACTTACCTTCCACAAACCTTTTGCAACTTAGACATTCTACAACTTGTTTACATCCTTAGCTTTGTCCTTGCTTTCACATAGACTTCTGCACAAAAATACTACTTTATCATACAAAATACTTCTTGTTCAAAAACATACATTTCCATACCTGTAACTTTTTATATCCCTTCTTCCAGTTGTTGACTCTTTCCTAAATTTACATTCTGAAATTAGACAAATTTATGAGATTTCTGAATTCAGACAAATTAGTCCTTTTTTAATAAGATTAAATACTTTATTTACAATACTTTAATGAAAACATAGCTGAAACTTTTTGTATTCCCAACATATAGAATTACACCTATTAGAATCTTAACTCTTAGCAACCTTGCTAGGCCCAGAAGCAAAGCAACTTTAAGACTGTTTTTCCATTTCCCAACTTATAAAGACATTTAACAGACCCAAATATATGTCAACTTCTGGAATTCAAGAAGTCACCAGCACTTAAATTTAAACTTAGCAGTCGATGTTTTTAACTTTGCAAATTAATCAGACGTGTCCTCTAACAAACACATTCATAAATGTTGTCCCATTTAGATTGAATCTAATTTACCCATTTTTAACTTAGGTTACCCATAAAAAACAAGGTATCAGACAAGTCCAGTTAACACTTTAAATCAATTATTCCTGCCAAATAAAAATCCTTAAAGTAATGAACATTGCACTTTAAACATTTTATAGAAACTAATGTTTTCTTGATTGCCTGGCCAACTAGAAAAACGTCCAGGTTAGTAATTTCAAAGACCCTTCATTCTTACCAATGTAAATTGACCTATAGAAATTAAAGTAGAGCCTGTCACAGATTTCTTAGTATGACCCCCGACATGGAAAGGGCATGTGCCATTGGGAACATGAGGAATGGACTCTGACAGCCATGGTGGACGCTGACATGAGCGGTCCAGCTGGCCACTCGTCCTCTACAGAACAGATTCACTCCCACCATCGCCACTGTATATTTTCCCTGCCTGGGACTTTTTAAGAATATCTTTTTAGTTGTCAACGGACCTTTATTTTATTTATATGTAGTGCTAGAGATCAAACCCAGGGCCTCACACATGCTAGGCAAGCGCTGTACCACGGAGCCCCAGCCCCAGCCCCAGCCCCCACCCCCGTGCCTGGGACTTTTTAAGGGAGAAGATTTCTTTCCTTTTCTAGTGAACTTGAGAGTTAACTCTTGAATAAGTACCTGGCGTCCATATAAAAATAGCACAAAAGAAAGGCAGAGTTGGAAACTCTGTCAGACAGAACAAGCCTGGTCAGAACAGAACAGTAAAGAATGCGGGGTCCATGAGTGCTTAAAGGTTCTTAAAGAAGATGGGTACAGGTGGGATCTTTCCACTTGCCTTCCCTTTCCCTGGGCCTAGAGTTTTTATTCCCCATTCTTACTAGGTTTCTGTAACCGAGTTTCACCTCGTGGACTCAACCTCCCAGAACCCGTGTGCTCAGCTCCCGTCACTGGGGATTCCTTGTGCTCCCTGGGCCACACATGTGCTCAGCCCCCTCAATGGAGTTTCCTGCATGAGCTGAGCTCAGTCAGTCTCCAGCCGTCTGGAACCACGAGTGGGGCTCTGCAAAGTGCCCAGGGTGTGTCTCAGTCACACATATTCAACCTCCGAAAATTCCCAACCACTGGAGCAGCACTCCTGGTCCAATTTCCTGCCTCAGCCAAGGAAACCCAGTGTTGCTCCCGCTGGTGGGCAATGGGACATCTGGGCAGAGCAGGCCACCCAAAGTTGGGTGGGACGCATCTCCTCCAGGACAAGCTCCCGGGTTGTAAGAGACATGCTCACCTGTCTAAGAGACACAGGATCAGCAAAGAGTGAGGCTTTAATGATGGTCTTGCAAGATTCAGTGCCTACTTGGTGCTCAGGGACCCCCAGGTTGGGTAGGACCAGTGTTTTATCCCCTCTCCCAGCTCCTCATTGGCTGTACTATCTTCCCCAAGTCACCTAGGTCTCACCCGCTCCTATTGGGTTATTTAAAGGAATGTGTCTTAGTTGTTCCACCTCCCTGTGTTCTCTTGTGGTGAAGTCTCCTGGGCTGAGTGGCTTTTGGCAATTTCACAGTTTATCTCTGTTGGTCAGGGCCAGGTGGGCCCCTTCCTTCTCACCTCCTGTTTGTCAGGGGCTGTGAGTTTTGACACTCTGGTATTGACTGCTTGTAACTTTCCATCCTGCTCCCCTGGCCAGCTGCCTTTCCTGCATCCCAAGTCACTTTACATTTGAAGCTAAGTACTGTTCTGAAAGTGGACCACCGGGATTGTCTATTCCTCACACAGAGTGCACCTGTCACCGAGAGGTCTGAAGGCCCTTGGCTCTCCACACTCTGCCCTCAGCTTTGAAATCGCCAGGTGTGCCACCAAGATTTCACTGGCTTCCCTGAGGTAGCAGCTCATTCACCATGCTCTGGAACTCTTGTGCCCTTCGCCAGGCTTCTGTGGCCCACCTTTTGATTTTATGCCCCTTCTGATGTCTCTGGTCTGCTCTGAGAGCACGGCAAGTGTTCCAGGGTGGAAGGAGCATTTGAGAGCATTAAAAGTTCCTGGTGGCCTTGTTTTGCCTGAGGAGCTTTCCGCTTGAGTGGACTTTAAAGAGGAGGGCTGGATGCAGGACTTTGATTCACATCGCTCTCATTCCGAGAAATGCAAGAAGAGGCCAAGCATTTTCTTTCCATAACTGATAAAACCCAGAAGTATTTCCAATCTTAAGTGAAGCTGTTACCGAAAGCTCAGTCTTTGTCCCTGATGCCAATTTAATAAGGAGGACACGGTTTTAGAAAAAGGAAAAGGAAGGTTCATATGCTAGCAAAGGAGAAGCACAAGGGACCGTCTCCTAGAGGCTGTGGTTCTGCGCGTCAGGGAGAGCAGAGGGTGTTTTAAAGAGGATTCAAAGCCTACATTCCAGGTGTGCCCAGTGTGGTGGATCCTAGGTGCCCTGATGATGTGGAGATTCACCCGTTAATTTGGGAGATAGTCACTTCCTGGATCTTCCTGTGGTGGGTGTGTGCTTAAAGACAGACAGCTAGGCCTAAGGTGCAGAAGAAAAGATAACCCTGTCTCCCCAATCCTGTTAGGGAGGGGAGAGGGAAAAGAGGGGGGGGGAATGTCCCTTTTAAAATGAGCTTCAGAGCAAGGAGGGCTATATTCATAAGTGAGGTGGACTACTGGTACAAAGCTACTCTGCTTTTTGAGTTTCATTTTATTATAAATGGAGATTTCCCAATTGCCTTTCAGTTCATTTTGATAACAACATCCCAACAAAGAGGAGGTTTGGCTGTATGGCTGTCAAGTTGGATTGATACCTACTTATATTGGATTAATACTTCAGTCGCTTCGGTCTTGGGCTACTTAATGAACCTGCCTAAAACTCAAGTTGCTTGTATGAAAACAAAGTTCTGAAAACTCAGTGCTGAGTTCCTTCCTTGTTCAGAGGGTCCTAGGAGCCTCCAGTCAGTCACCCTGGAGATGGCCTGGGCCGGCCTCCTGCGGGGAGAGCCTGCTGGCCGCCTCCTCCTGCCCATTCTGCCTCTCATCCTGTGTCTGTCCCCCTTTTGCCCACAGAGTGTGCAGCACGAGAACACCTATCGGGACCCCGTGGCCAAGTACTGCTACGGAGAGAGCCCGCCCGAGCTCTTCCCTGCGTGACGGCCGCTGCAGCCTGGGGCCTGAGACACTGCTGGAGGACGCGCCACCCAGGGCCAGACTTAAATGTCCCAGCCAGTCCAGGGCAAGGAGACAAGGTGGCATGGGGACACTTTGACTGTGACCACTTCCTGTGCTGTCCACGGGCGCTGCCCACCATCAGGCTGCACCTGGCAGAGCTCTTCTATGAAGCGGACTGGAACCTCGGGCTGGGCCCAGGCAGGAAAGAACCGCGGGCTGAGCTGGGGGTGGTGTCGGCCTCCCTGGAGACTCAGCTCGGCACCCACACAGGGGCCTGTGGCTTGTGTCCATCAGGCTCCGGGTGTTCACTTCCATTTTGATCTGGGCTCTTCTCGGTAAAATTATTTATTAGATTCCTTTGGAATACTGGGAAAACCATAGTGTTTTATGGAGGAAAATGCCTTACCATTCTAGTTGAATATATTCAAAGAAATTATTTTTGTTGTTGTCCTGGGTCCTAGAGTTTCACGAGTTAAATTGTCCCTTCACCCAGATAAGATGGCTTGTCCCTTGGAATGTGGATCTTCTCTCTAGGGAGTTATTTTTGGTTTTGACAATGTCTTCGAGAGTGGGTCTCAGATACAACGGAGGAACCATATCCTGGCTTTTAAAATCATGTGAACACTCCGAACTGACTGCTGCGTTCTAACCTCGGGCAGCGCTGCCAGCAGTGGCCCTGAGTGCCCCGGGCCCTGTTCTGGGTTTCCATGTGCCATCTGCCTTAGGACTGTTCCAGCCACGGTGGTGACGTGTCCAGAGGCGGTCCTTCTCCCTTCCTGCACCACTGTCGAAGGACTGGGATCTGCTCAGTGTGGCACAAGGGGGCCTCCTCCCCTCTCCTGTCACAGAAGCCCTGTGCTAGGCCATTCCTGGGCACACAGCTGTTTACTGTTTCAGCGTTTCTGTAGCAGGTATAAATGATTTTTGGAGAAGAAAACCCAACTTTCTGAGAGTGTTGTGAGAGTTTCTTTTTTTTAATTTATTTTTTATTTGTTCTTTTTAGTTAAACATGACTGTAGAAAGCATTTGAGAGTTTCTTACATTTGCCCTCCGTGAGAGATGTGTTTGGTTCTCACAGTTGAGAGTGCCACACACGCAGGTGGCTGGCGTGTCCTGAATCTGTGTGTTTAAAGTCAGTGTCTCTGACTCAAGGCCTGGAATATTTGGTCTAATGGTAAAATCATCACGCTCCTTGAACATCCTGCCTGAGAGTTCAGGAGGCCTGTTAGCACACACCTCTTCCCGGCTGCTTCACTCACCCCAGCTTGGGCAAGGTCTTTTTGCCTTTTTTTTTAGCTGTTTGGGTTCATCTGGGAGCAGGTGCTAATGACCTGCTTCCAACAGTTTTTTTCCCAGTGGAGTGTTTTTTGGGGGCCATGTTCTCCTTCTAGATGTTTCTGCAGCATGTAGTGGTCATTTCTTTTAGCCCTCCACTGTATCTCTTACATTTATCTTCCCTAAGGGATCTTTGCTCCTCAGTGAGTTTTCCTGCAGGGTGAAGTGCCAGCAGTTGTTTTTCAGTGTTAGATCCTAACAAATCGGTTCTGTTTGCATTGGACTTTTCCGATTCTCTGGGTTTCCCATGGTGCTGAAGCAAGCTCTGAGAGAACCGAGGCACACGTGAGCATCTTACCCCGCACCTTATGGCAGCTCCATGTGGAGTCTGAGGGCCAGTCTTCCCTTGGTTGCCGCTGGTGGCAGCCTGTCCTTCGTGCTCAGTGTGCTGTGGAGCAGTGGACAGCTGCATGAGAGGCCGGCCTGTGCCCACCCGCCAGTCCTCCCCAACTTTGCACTAAACAGCACCTCTTCGTGTTACTGCTGTCACACAGATGCTGCAGCCATCAGTAGGACTTGTGCTTCCGCCTCATGGATGAGGAAATAAGGTGAAATGACCTTGAGTCCCCACTGAGACTTCATGCTGACCCACACTGGAGGTCGTCTCTGGTTCTGCTCCTGTGTGCTTCCCAGCACCCCTGCCAGCTCCAGGGCTGACCAAGCTCGCCATCTGCCCCCAGAGCCTGTGGCTTTCAGTTGTCCAGGCCAGAGGAGGAAGTGGTGGCTCCCATGTCCACATTAGGTTGGTAGCTCAAAGGTCATTTTCATTTAGATGAGGAGTATGGTTTTTTGTGCTTAAAAATCAGTTGGGGGGTGTGCAGTGTTTTGGAGATTGACAGCAGGCTCAGGGTGAGCCGCAGCGGAGCACCTGGCGTGGCCCAGGCTCCTGGCCCGGCCCGCACTGCTCCTCTGCTTTGCTCATGGTTTCTTGGAATAAGGCTTCTCACACAGGGACCTTGTCTTAGCTGTGTGTGTCCAGAGCCTAGCAGAGCACATGGTACATGTTGGCAGTTTAGGAAAAGATCCCAGAAAGGAGAAAACACCTTTAGTTGAGAAAAATATCGAATATTGAGGGCTTTAGGCAAAGGTGATTGGGCAGTGCCAGGTATTTCCCTCAGTGCTAAGTCTTCTGTTTGCCATGCTTGTTGCTAGAGCTGTACAGATGTGTGAGAAGCTCGTGGTGGGGTAGAGAGGCTCTGAGACAGAAATGTCAGGGGAAGGCCTGGCCACCTCTGAGCTCCCGAGTTCTTGGAAATGCAGAGGCTTTCGGAGCAGTGATTGCGCCCCTCCGCATCTTTCAAAGGCTGACTCGGGAGCTTCCTCCTGGAAGTGCCTCTGTTGGTGTCTGCTCCCAGGGAACTGTAGGGAACAGTGGCTCAGTTTGTGAGATGTCTGAGCAGATTTTCCCAGGGTTTGCAGACTCTTTGTCAGCTGGAAAGATCGGTGCCTCACAGTCAGTAACTACTGCTTATTAATGGTGCAGCCTTGGACAGTCTTCTGTCCTCTTCTGAGTCTCAGGCCGCCATCTGTTACATGGAATGACGTCTGCCTCTCCTAGGCCAGCAGTGAGGTGTCTGAGCAGGGACCCACTGCTTGGCAAGAAGTCCAGGCCTGCAGCCCATCCGGGAGCAGCATAGGTGAAAGGCAGGGCTGGGGACAGACAGGCTCCTGGGGTTGGGAGGGCTGTGAGTACAGAGTGCTCGTTATTTATTTATTTTTTTTATGAGTAGAAACTCCTGCTACAGACACAAAGCTTCAGATAATGCAGGCAAACCAAAGGCAGAAAGAAGAACCTGAAGTCCTATAACCTAGAGATAAGCACCAGCCGTTTTTCTCTTCCAGGACCTTTCTAGACAACATGGAGGGTGTTTTTGTGTTGCATACGTGCCTATGTGATTCTTCTCTGCGGCCACATGCCTTTTTCATGGATCTGAAGTACTGTTCTTCATTCCCTACTGATGAGCTCATTAGCTAACATGTCCCAGGTCTGTTGTCGCTTTTGCTACTACAGATAGTGCATTGGTGACGACCCTTGTGCAGACATGGGTATCAAACCCTTTCCACAATTTACTTTGCCCAGAGTGCCAGGGGTACCCATTGCCAGGCCTCCGACAACCCTATATTACCATTTTTAAACTCTTTGCTAATGAATCTCAGTTTTCTCATTTGTATTTTAAATTTTTTAATCATGATATTTGTCCTTCTATATAAGGATCAAAACTCATATACTGAAAAATGAGTTGCAAAGATTTACTTTTTGCTTCTGTCTTTGTTCATGAGTTAAAAACACACAAGTGCTGTTTATTTGTATTTAATTTCTAGTGAGGTAAACTCCATCCCATGTTTGATTGGTCATTTATCGTTCATATGTGGTGAATTGTGTATTTCTGACAACTTTTCCCTCTTTTCTTCCTGATTACTACAGAGCATTGCGGGTGGAGGGGCTTCAACCCCTTATCTTTTTCAGTCTCTGACTCTCAGAAGCAAGTGGCTCACATATTCACAACTCAGTTTTCCAGTAGATCTAGGGCAGTGGTTTTTCAACCCGGCAATTTTTCTCCCAGGGGACATTTGGCAACGTCCAGAGACATTTCTGACACAACTGAAGAGGGGCGGTGCCACTGGCCTCTAGGGGGCGCAAGCCAGGCATGCTGCTCGCATCCCACGCTGCCCAGGACTCCCTTAGCACAGGGCGCTCTGGCTGCCACTGCCACCCCAGTGCCGTGGGCAAGAAGCCAGCCCCCCCGGGTCGTGTCTACCCCTCAGGCTGCACAGAGGAGCTCCGGGACGCGCTGACTTCATTATTTCCCTGCCCTCGCGTTCTGCGGTGCTGAAGCGCTGCTGATTAAATTACCCTGCCATCCCCACGGGATGTGTTACTTTCTCACAGGTCTCTGGCAGCCCAGCGCTGCCGCAAGGCACCATGTTATTGCCCTGCTACCATGTCCTTAACGCGCCCGGAGAGCCACCTAGTGCAGATACCGTCTTGTCTGCAGAATGAGCTGTGGTCTAGAAACCCCTCTCTTCCCCTCCCCTCTGCGAAGGACTGGCTCCCCCAGCACGAAGGGAGTTCCAAATGGAGTGGCTTTGTGGGTAGTGATGGGGAAGAGGTGTGGACCTATCATTATAGATTTTATTTAGAATTCTAGCTTTTCTGCTAAAAAAGGTATAAAATACAATCAAATTTAAAAGGTAATTATATTCTGAGTGTTGTCTTTCTAACAAGATTTCCCTGCGTCTCTGACATGTCAGGCTGTCACCTTCTTGGCGGGTTCTTCCCAGCTCTGCATGTTTGCAGTTTATCACGATGTGGCTGCGGGTTTGCATCCCTGTACCTGTTTGCACTCCGTTGTGTGTCTGCAAATTTCCCATCCAGTCTGCTTTCACACATGAAGAGGAGCAAGTAGCCGATGGTGTCTGACCTGAGCCCAGGACCAGAGTGGCTGTGTTCAAGGGTCTCAGGAGAACCTCAGTGATCATCATGTGTACAGCTCGCAAGCTTCTGATGTTAGAATTGAACTTCACATATATACAATGAAAGTACAGCTTCGAACACCATAAAGGAATGAGTCCAGTTATGTCATTTGTTGGGCTTGCACTTTCTGAGGGATCAGATCATCACGCCTAGAAATGTGTTGTTTGTAAGTGGACAAACAGAAGGGCAAACAGTTCCTTCCATCTTGGAATTTTTTTTATTCATAAATTCTAATGCAGTGTTGAAGGTAAGTTTCTCGCCACAACACATCCATGTTATTCCCAAATCAAAAGTAGTGGTGGCTGAGTGAGAAATCACTGTTGACAGTGATTCAAAATTCTAGACTATGTTGGTTAATGGCGGTACTGAGGATTGAACCCAGGCATGCGCTACCACTGAGCTACATCCCTAGATTTTTAATTTTTGAGTCAGGGTCTTGCTAATTTGCCAGAGCTGGCCTTGAACTTGAACTTGCTATCTTTCTGCCTCAGCCTCTTGAGTCTCTGCGATTACAGATGTGCACCTCCATACCCAGTTTCATATCTCATATATTACTAAGGTGGTGTGTGCTGTGTGTATGATTTTTTGGGTTCTGTTCAGATGGGACATTTTCTTAAGCTGTATTAGGAGGTATCAAGACAAATGTTGAAGAAAATACTTCTTATTATAGACATTTGATTGGATGCTGATTTGGATGGTGAGTATGACATGCTTCTCTGGTACGACCCTCACACTCTGGCCGTGTGTGAATGCATACGTGCGAACACGTAGGTAAAAATAGCTGTATGAGGTATGTGAGTAGCATCCTGATTAAACTGACAAGAGCCCAGGCATCAATGACCTTGAGTACATTGACCTTGCTGGCTTTGGTTTCTTCATTTGTCAGTAATTGCTAAGAAATCTTGCAGATCCAAAATTCTGACTTTCTGTTTCTCCAAAGGTCCCACCTCTGATTAAAAACTCAAGCCCCTGTCACCTAGTTGTGGGCTATGATTTTCACATGGTGAGTGGAATTGAGTTGTTTGGACCCCTTCATCTTAAACCAGGGTTTTCCTGCTTCTCTTTTGGAGATTTAAACTGGGGCCAACCACTTTCTCTTCTTCCCGGATTTCAAATAGACATCTTTCTCTGCTGGGACCAGC